TGTGTGTGTGTGTGTGTGTGTGTGTGTGTGTGTGTGTGTGTGTGTGTATTCATCCTGTGATACATGGAAGGGACAGAGCAAAGAGCTGAACTCTGCGGACCCTGTCCAGTTCTGAGCAAGCTGTCTACAAAGGTGGTTTTAAAATTAATGAAATGAAAGAAGATGGCAGGCAGGCTGGTATCTGTGTGCTTGTGTGTGTGCGTGTGTGCGTGTGTGTGTGATGTGGCAAAGGCCAGAGGAAGACTTACTGTCCCTGCCTCATTCTCTTAAGACAAGGTCTTGAGGAACCCAGAGCTAGACTGGCAGCCAGCAAGTCCCAGAAAGCCTCTTGTCTCCACCCTCCTCAGAGCTGGGTTTACAGTTCTGTGTGCTATACCTAGCTTTCCTATGTGTTTGCTGAGGATCTCTCCTTAGCCCTGGTTTGGCTCATTAGAGAACAGAGTCTCGTGTTTTTCATTTAGTGTTTCGAGACAAATCGTGTGGGATGGCTTCACATTGACTGTGTAACTGAGAATGACGTTGGACTCCAGATCCTCCTGCCTCCATTTCCCAAGTGTTGAGCCTGTGTGCGCTCGGCACCACCCCCAGCAGCTGAGTCATGTTTTAAGAACTTCGTGTTTTCGTCTGAGCTGGGGAAAGGGGCTGTGTGAGTTAGATTTGAATTTGCCGTTTTTCCACACCAAGTGGATAAGTCTCAAGGAGATGCTTCAAGCACAAAAGGCTTTTGTTTTTCCATTTCTGGTAAATTTAGGAAAGAAGGAAAAACTTGAACAGGGTATTTCTGAAATTCCAAACTTGAGTGAGACTTTAAAAGATGATACAACAGTGGAAAACTTCCAGGAGTAGGAAAACAGTTGACCTTGGTTGACAACCTTACTGGACTCAGAGCATCACCAGATAAGTCAGACAGGTGTGGGGACTAGGGAATGTCTCTTCAGTTTGATAGTTTGGTAATAGGACCTTGAGCATATTTCCTAAACTTTGGTTTGTTCAGCTATAAAACAGAACAGTGGAGTCACTATCCTAAACTGACAAACTTGCCTAAGGACTCCAGGCAGTAGAGGTTCCATTGCAGATCAGAAACACTAAATTGGTGGACATGTTAATATCTCTGTCACTTGCTCTTCCCAAGGTCAAAGCTTTTGACTTGGGAGTTGGGTTAGAATAATTAATCTGTTTCTCTGCCACTATCTGCAGTCAAGGCTAACGGTGGAAACCAGCCCTAAATCCTTCACGAAACACCCTTTTCACATCTCAGATCGAAAGTCATTTGAAGAGTGTCCTTCCTTTCTCCCCCCTACCTTTTTTCTCTATCTCTATAGCAAAGAACTTTTCCTTTGAATGAAAGACCAGTGATTTGGGGGTGGGACAAAAAAGGGAATGTAAAGAGAGCTTAAGGAGAAGCATAAAGGAGACCAGGCCAGCTCCTCACAAGCCTGGCAGCAGGGTCCTCCCCATTGTCTTTTCAATGGGTCCACTGCAGCAGGACAAATAGAAGGACAGGTGAAAGGTCACCTACTTCCTCATCCATCTTCCTCAGGGTCTGAGAGGTCAGAGCGAAGATTGATTAAGATTTTAAACGTTTGACAAAGGCTTCTTGGGTGAAAATGGCCAGGGCGGGTGGGGGCCTGGGGTGTACTGTTGTCTCGAGTCTAACCCTGGTCATCCACTAGAGTCCTCAAGAGACCTTGGTGACAGTGCTACACTTCCTCTTACCGTTCTTAGAGCCAACAGTACATGCTGATGTAAGAGGGATGCAGTCTGCCTGGAAGGTGTCAAGAGCCCTGGGAGATGCTAAGCTGACTGAAGCAGCTGCGAGTCCATTGTGCTGTGGACTAGCACCATCTAAAACGATTTGGTTTGGTTTCTCTAGGACAATGAGTGTCAGCCACTTGTCTGTCCTCAAGGAGAGAGACTAACTATATGACCTAGTCAGCCCAGGCTGACGGACTCCATGCAGAGGATAACTCTACTCCCCTACCTGCTTTCCCAGGGTTAGTAGGATCTGTAAAGAAAAATCAAGATATAATGTGATCAATCTTTCTGTGTCTGGGAAGCAAAGACTTGTTTACTCATGCCCAGCGTTCAGGGCACAGTTCCTGTTAGCCCAGAAAACTGAGCAGACCAAAAGACTTACAATATTTTTTAAAATCTTAATTTAAGAGCTGAAAAGATGAACAGAGGGATCCAGATTTACTCTTTGGGAAGTACTAATAAAAATGTTTTCAGAATATACACAGAAAAAGAATATTAGTTAAAAAAAAAGAAAAAGAAAAGATTCTTTAAAAGGCAAAGAAGCATAGTAGTGACAAAGAAGTTAGGCAAGAATCCACTGGTCAGGGAGTAGAGTTCACTGGTAGAGCATTTTCCCAAAGCAGGGGAGATTGTGGGGTCCAAATCTAGCAATAAAAACAAACTAATATACTAACAAACCAGTATGCAAACTAATAGCAACTGTGAACTAAAGTATTGAGGAATATGCTATCACATCACATGTGTTGTCTTGAACTGTATCATTCTATATTGTTCTATAGCATTCATCAAGAATGAATGGTGTAGAAATGACATGGCGGTTATGAAATTGAAATATTGTAAATGTATCCTCTGCAAAGGTGAAAACCATATCACAAAAGGCAGGTGGCTGTGTTTGTCTGATACGTGATGGGACTGTCAGAGAAAGAAGCGCTGCACAGAAGGGTTTCAGATATAGTTCAGAGAGCCACCCCTCCATACCCTTTCATTTTTGAAATTTTTTTTTCTACCTTTGAATCGTGTCTTTAAGAATCAATTGCTTGACTCACGAAGCTGCTTTTATCTGCAGCTTTGAAGCCTGTCTGTGATCACTCACAGACCTAATTCTTTATCTCAGAGGAGCAAGGTTTAATTATTGTCCTTTTTCTTCCATAGTCTTTTTTTTTAAATGTTTTTCCCCTTCATTGTGTGACTAGGTTTCTTTTGTGAGCAGGGGATCATGCGCTGGTCTCTATTTTGGGTTCAGC